GGATTTGAATTCATGTTGGTCTCAAGGTGCATGGGAAACTCTGAGGAATAAGATATTGTTAGCAGAGAGATAGCAATAAAACTCAGCTCCTTATGGTGCCAATTTGTTTATATCTCATAAAAGGCATCCCAAGTGAGCTGAAAACATACATTAGTTGTCTTTGGAGAGATGCTCAGAGCATTTTTTAAAGTTACATCTCTATTATGTGAATGCAGTTAAGTGTTAAGCAGTTAATGTGGCAGCATCTTTAATCAGTTATTTTAAAAATTATGCCCTTCTGTTGGTTAGTTAAGCACATAGCCGTCTGAACATCTAGCTACTTATATATTATTGTCATTGCTATTACTACTACAACTCACTCTCTGCTTCTACTTTCCCAGATTACTGAAGGCAGCTGCTTATACCAGATAATTAGTTCACAGAGGAAACTGTTTAGATTTAACAACTAGTCCCTAGAGAAAACGATAAAAATAAAAACATGCTACAATTTACACGATCCATCAGATACCATATAAAATAAAGGTTTTTTTAAACACTTGTTATTAAAACAAACTGTTACCATTAATAGTGCCTAAGATATAGGTTGCCTCATTAGACAAAGTTTAGTATAACACAACCACACCCACACCCCTTTAAAAACCCATAACAGAAAGATACAATGGATAGACTGGAGATGCCAGAATAAGTAAATAATACTAATATAACCAAGCAGCCCCTTCCCAGTGTATCAATCTCTCCAGTTCCATCCTATACATGTCTACTCAGAAATAATCCTCACTGACTTCAATGGAAGTTGCTTCCAACCCAAGTAGGTGTGCATAAGATTGCAGCCTTACAGTTAATTCCTAACCATATCTACTAGAAGTTAAGTCCTACTGAATTCACTTGTGCTTACTCCCTGTTAGGAGTAGGGCCAAAAGTGATATGAATGGTGATATGGCAAGGGAAGAATGAAAGCTAACCATCCTGAGACCTGCAGATAAAGGGCGGTATATAAATCCAATAAATAAAATAATAATAATAATTGGAACCCTCTCATCACTTGCTCCCATCTGAAGCAATGGCATAATATCATGCCTGCAAAAGTGGTGACGTAAGGATAAACACTCTCACTGGAGACCATAGGCAGTCACAGACAGACACCCACCCCTCCATCTCTCTTCATAGCCAAAACATAAAATAGGATTCTTGATAACTCTGTAGCCAATCACGGTATACAAGACTCAGTCAAGTGACAGATGCATCTTCTAACAAGGAACAGGATGACACCACTCTTTTCTCATTTGCATAGAACCCAGAGTACATTAGTGGGTAATTATGAAAAAAGACACTTTCTCCAAACTGCCAAGGTTCACAACGAAGTGGAAAGTGTAAACACTTGTTTTCTCAAAACCCACACAGGTGTCCTATCTCAGGATTCCAGTGAAGCCTTGAAACAGGAGTTAGATTGAGGGATGGGACAGATGCCACCATGGCCAGTGGAGGCAGTTCCCCTTCCTGGCACCTCATGGAGCTTCTTCCTCTCAGGGTTCTAGTGGGATCTTGGGAAGGGCTGGAGGGCTCTGTAAAAGGACTGGTCAGTCTCTCTCTTGCCTCATGTACAAATTGTTGAACTTTAGGCTAGTAATTGCTGTACCAGCATTAACTCTGGCATTAACTTTCCGCTACCTGTGCTACCAGCACCATGGGATTACTCTGCAAGGCATGGTTACTGGAGGTTTCCCTGTTGGCATTCATGGGTGTAGCCAGGGTTTGGTTTTGGGGGGGGGGAGGAGGCAGGCTTTAGGTTGAGTGAGGCAGAACCTCAGTGAAGTATTTTTATTTATTTACTTGATTTAGGGGGGCAGCTGCCCCCCATCCCCCTTGGCTACACTCATGTTGGCGTTATAGGAAATACTACAGTCTAGCAAAGCACCTAACATTGCAGCTAAGCAGGTGATGAAACTGAAGAAGCCTGGAATGACTCAAAGACAAAAAACCCCCAAGTAATTTGTTCTTTATGGAAACCAGGGTAGTGGAAAATCAGAAGTAAATGACAAGGTCAAAGGGATGAGCCAGGGAAGTGCTGTGAGCAGCTAATAATAATAATAAGCTTTTATTTATATCCCGCCCTCCCCAGGCTCAGGGCGGCTAACATCAGATATATAACATTACTATAAAATCAAACAATAATTAAATTACCTCCTGAAAACAGGTCAAAATCTAATTGAAGTCTAATCTGGGGGAAAGTTACACTGCACAAGTGAGGTATGGAAAAGTTGTTAGCTGTTCAGACGGAGACAATCTTACAGGAGTTTTTTCCACTCCCTCAAGAAAACACGACATGATGTAGACAAGCTAATGCTGATTAACAATAAAAGCAAAACAGAAGATAAGCCAAGGTCACTGGTGACTTTGAGTGTGGTGATACTATTCACAAATGGAAAATAATACTCCATAAAAATAATAATTGTTTTGCTTGATCAGACCTAGGCTACCATTTTGTCTCAAATGGAGACCAGACAGATGCCCACAAGTGTGATATGATGGCAGTAGCCATCAGATATTGCTTGATCCTAGCATCTGGTAATCGGGTCGCAAATTGTTCAGTATTCTGCTACATCATGGCCAACAGCCATTGATATGTCTGTCCTCCATGAATTTATCTTATCCTTTTTTAAAGCCATTATATTATAAATAATAAATCACCTATATGGATTATTTATAAAGACATTTAAGCTAGTGCTGCTTGCCACATTTTGTGGCAATGAATTCCATAAGTTAATTATGCAATGTGTTGATGGAAGGTGAAGTCTTGATACTATTGCTCTTGGTAATAGCATTAGCAGCAGCTTTCTCCTGTGAAACAAGTACTAAAGAAAACCCCTCCATTAAGACTGAGTTTTAAGGTTTCTACATTACTTTCGAAGGGAAAATTGAAGTTTAATCTCTTCTTTTAAAATGTCACAATTTATATAAATAATACTCAGTTTATTACACAACTAGGTTTAGTGTTCACACTAATCACTGCATTGTATTCAACAATGCCATTTCTCACTGGGGCACTCAAAAGTAGGGATAAATGAATATATTCATGAAACCAACAATAGTAATCTTAGGCCTTTACATTTCCTGCATATTCCGTTCAGTTTTTCCAACTGTCTGACAAGAACAATGCATATTATGCAATAGCAATAATGAAGTGTTGCTGATTGTAAGAAAGAAATGGACCTGGTGCACGCAGCGAAAGAGAACGCTCAATGCTGCGTGCTCTGTATATAAAATCCTTGGTCCACCCCACAAATTGGCAACATCAAAATTTCCCCAGTAACTCAAACAGCCCAATCACTGCTATGGCCATCTATACGATCCCACCCAGCAACAGAGGGGTGGCCTGTCAGACCCCATCGCAACACGTGCTCTCCATGAAGGAGAACACGCTTTTTAAGAAAGAAATGGACCCCATACTGGAATTAAATAGGCCACATCTTTGTGCAGGGAACCTGTGGCCGGTGAGGCCCAAAGCATGGGAAGAGACAACAAACCTACAAGACAAACATATTGGGTTTGAATAGACCACAACTTTATTTATTACAGTGACAGGTGCCGACTGCTAGGGGCCAAGGCAGTTTTGGGCCCCCAAACATATATTTATTTTTGAGAGGGCTGGGCCCTCTCATTGTTCCGAGGATGTCATGCAACATTGCGTCCCCGCTCCCCAATCCTTTGGAGAAACTGGCACCTCTGATTACAGATGTAAGTAGGCTTTAGTGAAAGCATTTGGTATGTATCCTGAATCAATCAGACTGCTGCTTGATTATTTTACAGGGTTGATGCTGAGTTAAGGATCTACCTATGACATACATCAAATAGGGGCAGTCCCTCCAGGAGATCCTAGACTAAGGATCCAACCCAATGCCTTATCTGCCAACAAGTTGTGACTATTATTATGGGGTAGGCAAAACCTCCAGATGGGCCCAATTTGTCTGCAGGCAATTTCCTCCCTGGCTCCGAATATGGTGACCAAATATTTACATAGGAAGGTCTTACACAGCGCCTGCCTGCACATCTTCAGCTCCTCTGACTTTACGTCTGCTTGGGAGCCATTTGTGATTTATATGTTCAAACAATCTCATGGCTGGCACAGTTCCACTAAATATGAGGGTTGGTTTTTTTGCAACATTTATGAATATTGGGTATAAATAGTAGAAATATGACCCTTATATTGCCCTATGGAATATATTTTACACCATTCATTCTTTTTAAGATTTCTATTATCATCATGATTCTTATTTTATTATCTTTTAATTTTATTCTTCCTGTTTTTATGACTGTTTTTAAATACATATAGGGTGAACCTACAGAATCAGCAGCTTGCTCAATCAGCCCTTTGGAATTTATTCTCTATTAGGACCACTTACATTTAAGGAAAGGGCTGGGGCTGTGATCTTTTTATTGTAACGATCTGTATGTGATCTTTTATATGCATATATTGTATATGTGTATGTGTATATATACATATATGTATATGCTTATATTTTAATTCTACTATTAATGTCCTGCCTTGTTTATAACTGCCCATTCTTCAAATATTGGTATCCCCTTCTTTTCCCAATTAATAAAACCTTAAATAAAATAAAACAAAATAATAACTTGAACCATAACAACAACTATCCTAGTAATGAGAAGAGCTGTGTGACAACTTGCAATTCCTGTGAGGTTGGCTTGACTGTCCTGCCACAATACGCCTGAGTCTTCAGCTCAATTCTAGCCATTCCTATTTGGCCAAGCCTTCCTGCACCACAAGGAGAAACTGGATGCTTCCCAATGGGCCATCTATTATCATTTAAGTAGGGCTCCCTTCTCCCATTGAACTGGTGGGCAACATTCATTGAACTCAGAAGTTGGAACCAACAGTTGTGACAGCATAGATCAGGCAAATTAATTTCTCCCTCTCCAGAACAGTGTCCTGAAGAAAGTACAAAAGTTGCCCACCATGGCCAATCAGTAAAAGCGTGAAAAGATCCCTTCCTGGACTTTCTAAGAGTCCAGGGGACCTACAACTGATAACAGGAGTGGTGGGTGAGACAATATGCCTGTTTGGCTCAAACTGAGGAAAGGTAGTGGCAGGAAACCCATTTCAGTAGGCCCCGTTACTATTTCTCACTCAACTTCCCACACTGATCAAGCCCCAGACATCTGTACTGCATTTATCCCTTTATACAAAGGATATCATTAGTGGGTAGTGCACCTGACATTAGCTTCCATAAAAAGCAAGGAAATCTCATTAATTTCAAATGGACACACTTTGAAGTACAGTAAGTGTACTTAAGTAAATATTTAAACCACCTTCATGGATGGTAATCCCCACATTTCAATGGGGATTAATTCTGAATAAACAGTATTACAGTGCAATCCATTACATCTTTACTCAGATGTCTCAGTTCTCAGTGTGTTCAGTAGGGACTACTATTTAGTGCAGATGTGGGGAGCCAAATGTCATTTCGTCCAGACCTTGGCACCCTCTCCAATTCACACTCCTTCCAGCCATCTAAATCTGCAATCCAAGGGTAGAGCAGCTGGGAATGCTCTCTCATCCTTGACTGCTTCCTCTTCAGCTGCAGCACCATGGAAGCCCAAGACTGCATGGGAACCTTTCAGGAGCCCAAATCTGGATAATTATTCGGGCCAGTTCTGATCCTTTTTTAAAAGTTGCACTTGTGTGTGAGGACATGACAACTGGAGATTGGATTCATTAGTGATCTGTTAATTGAGAACTAATTTCCTGAATATGAAACAGACCATTTTTATATGATACAGAATGGAATGTACACATCTGGAAAGCTTCAGCATGTGTAAGAATCTTGCAATCTGTACACAAGTTGTTTCTTGAGTTGAACAGCAACTCTGAGAATATAAAGTTGGAACTACAACACATGCCTTACTGAAAGATGTTTGTGGAGCAAACAAGCACAAAAAAAATTATGTAGGTTTACAGTCCCTATTATGTATATTCTCTCTAACAGGCATTCAACCACACAAGTACATTATCAGTGTACTGCCAATGAAATGGGATTACACAAAAGGGTTCAATGAAATGAAATAGGACTACACAAGTGTTTTTTGTTTTTTTTTTACATACTCAGGGGATTTGAGTGCATAATAGGTATGTAACTTCATAAATTAAAATAAAAAAGAAACTAAAATACACATGAAAATTGCTTGGCAAAGACCTGTGTGCTTGCAGAAGGCTGGTAACAATTGTGTGTACGTATACAGAAAAAGAAGTGAGACAGGAATGGGGAAGAGTGTCTGACTTTGAATCAATTAAGTCTATGGTTGATAGCAGATGCAGAATGTTCCCGTTTCAGTTGGAAACCAACCCCTTTCCCCAACAACAGGAAAATAGAGGGAAGGGAAATAGAGGAGGTGGAGGTATACTTTAGCCCTCTTTTGGAAATTCCACTGTATGCAGTACCGGCGTCTCTTTTTTGGTTGTTAAAAAGTGTGGCACTTAATGTAACAACATCACGGTCAGTACCAGCACCTATTTTTCTAAGAAAAAAAGCACTGACTGTAGGTATAATTTCTCAGAAACAATCCATCTCTCTCAAAAGTTAGGGGAAAAGCAAGTTCAAGGACTATTTCCTATAACAAGATTGCTATAGGGCAAAGGTGCGGTAAAAGAGGGAATGAGTCTGCAAGCATATAGCTCACTGTCATTTTGCCACGTGACCAAGAGCATTTCCAGATTGTCACTGTTTGCAGGTAGGATTCAATCACATATCAGCAAATGAAGTTTCTGCAATTGAAGTTGATTGGGAGCTCTTACATGAAAGTTCTGCTCTTTTTGTGATAAGAAAATGCATTGGAAAGTGTGGAATAACATGTGCTTGCGTTCTGCTGAGAGAAGAGTTTTTTGTTTTTTTGTTTAATTCGGACAAGACAAAGAGCACACTTTAATCCTTGATAGACAGATTTATATACGGGCAGGATGAGAAAAACCACAAACAAACAAGGACCAAATAGCAAATTAAAAGCAAATGACAGACAGTTTACATCTCTCTCAAAAGCAACAATGGACAGACACCTGTAATGGCCAGAATATAGCACCTTCTGTGCTGAAGTTTGCAGAGTAGAATTTCCAAGCTCCTTTCACATCTTATGAATGTAAACTAGGTACCAGTGCTATGAAACCCTCCTAAGAGCTGCCAGTGACTAAGCAAGAAATTAGCCACTTATCAGCTGGTATCTTAAAAAGATAACAAATGCAGCTGGCTAATTAAAGTGTTCTAGGGCATGTGATGAGCCACTGCTGTACAGCACAAACTCCTCACAATACAAAGTTCTTCTGCATTTCCATTACAGTTTCATGTAAAACCGTCCCTGAAAACAAATCAGAATGCATTTTCAATGTCGTTGAATTTCCCTGCAAACAAATCAGGAGGAACAACAAATAAACAGGTAATCTGGAAACAACCCAATTCTGTGTAAATTCACCTAACCCACATTCCAACATGCAGATGCACTTGTGTGAATTTAATTTTCCCTAAGGGATACTCAAAACACAGGGAGGCTGCAGATTTTGAATAGTGTTTCGGCATGACTTTCAGAAGCTACCAGGACCATTTTGAAAACCTGTATGTCACCAGCATTTAGAGATGAAATGCAATTTACTTGTTGGAAGTTTGGTGTACTACAAAATGGTAAAGTTGTACAGTAATCCGATGAGACAATGTTTACACAGCTCCTTTCCATTCAGCTTGAGGTGAGCTCAGAAGAGCATCTGCATGTAGAAAATTTGGATGGATAAGCTTTCCTGTTTCTGATTTTGGTTTCTTTTTAAAAATCCAAATCTGGAACTGCTTCTGGCTCCCTGCAAGTAATGGACACATGATAGGAGAACATGAATCATGTATACAGTAGCCTAGACTGTTAACATTTTAAATGGTCAGCAGAATTTCCATTTGTTATTGTTATTGTTTACAGAGCACCAATATAAATGTTGTTGCATCGAAGTGCAAGGAAGTTTGGCATGGGGTAGATGTGTCATTCTTGGAAACAACTGTCACCCACAAAGCACTTTTAAACATTAACTGAACACTTTGCTTTGAATTACATTACAGTTATTTCAGTTTTCAAATGTAAGTACTGTAACAGATGGAAGGTCTATGTTTGTTGTGGTTGCTACTTCAGTAATGGACCATTTGGCCTAGGTGCTGTGTAGGGAAACAGAAAAGCATGAGAGTCATTATCTTGGAGGATAAACTATTAAGTTATGCTGCTGTTCCTCCCACCCACACATTAGTTTTATCTTCATAGAGTTTTGGCTCTTTGGGACGTGGATTAAGTTTATATGACTGAAAGTGCTATATAACACTTCCCTGTTTTGGTTTTAGAAAATCGAGCACTTAACTTTAAAGAGGTAAAATCCATTCCTGATCCAGTCACAACCTTCCTTGAGAATACCCCAGGCAAGACATTTTTCAAGAATCTGACATGGTTCACTGAAAGCATCAAATGATCCCTATAAATTATCTTGTCTTGACCCAATTTCAGCTAAGTTTTTGTGAGCTTTCATTCCGAGTGTTTGAGCGCTTGTGTCTAAGTGATCAAAAGAAGAGCTGAAAAAACAAGTGGATCCCTCTCCGTTTTATCTTACTCTCCTGTAGTGAAAACCCATTTCCTTTAAGAAGAGGGATTATCGAGTGTCAATAAGGGTGCGTTAAGGTTAGCAAAGGTATTGCTGAATCTCTTGTTAACTGGAAATGGTAATCCTGAGAGTGTAATTTCCTACCAGGACATGAAATTTGTAGCTCATTTGGTCTCTCAAATAGAACTGGTAATAGTACAGCAGAAATTACAAATCCCATGCTCTCTGGCTGTCATGCTAGGGAATATGGGACTGTAGCTTTCTCAGACCATCCCTTCTTGAAGGGAAATATATTCTGTGGGTGCTTTGTTTGTTTCAAAGGAACTGCAGGAGCAGCAGGAAGGCTAGCTAGTGGCAGGTGTAGGACTTAGACCTGAACTGCAACTCTAGGGCTCACTCTTACTGTGATTAGGCTTTTTGAATTAGGAGTGAACTTTTACCATCAAACTCAAGACAAAGATCTGTCCCATAACCAGAGCCCAGTAGCAGCTGTAGGGAACTGTGGAAGGACAGCGAAGACAGCAGTAACTGCATCCCCCTTTGGTCTTTTGTTAGCTTTTCCCAAGCCTTCAGGTCAGAGCTGTATAAGACTGCAGATCAGCACTAAATGCAAGCAGGAGAAAATGTAACACAGATGTGCCATTTGTGCAAAATGGTAGTTTTCTATCTTCTGCATCAGATCTGATCCTTGAAAATCAGGGAGACAAAAAATTTGCCTGACATCTCTCGGACTCAAGGTTTAGCACCTACAATGGGTCTGAATCCCAACACCCAGTGTATTCCAGAATCAGCTTTGGGGTTACTTTTAATGGGGTTATAATTCTGCTCTACTCCTCTGGTTAATATAATTTTAACAGATTCTCCCTGGGTGGAATCTACCACTGAACCATGTTCAGAATGTGCAAGAGCCTTAGCAACAAGCTTCACCAAAAATAGGGAACAAAACAGTGTAAAGAAAAATGAGTTTGGTTTATAACAGTTTGCAAAAAGAAGAAGCCAAGCATGGTTTAGATAGAACATATTTAGCATTAACTTTTGAATTTCAATATATCATCAGTTAATCAGTTAGAATTCCTTTTCATGGGCCTGAAGCTCAAAGGAAACCTCAGATTTAGACACTTGTTAATTTGTTGGCATTTGATAAATTTCATAACTTGTGCATTGAGCCCAAATGTGACACTCTCTTAAAGCACAGAGCTGCAGATTGAAGTAAATTAGAGGTGTAATTTGGTAAAAGACTTTTTTTTGTCCATTTATGTAGATTTGGTCCAATCATCACCACCATCATCACCATCCTATTTATTGAATTTATATACCGCCGTTCATTTGAGAATCACAGAGTGGTTTGCAGTATAAAAACACAAGAGGTTTTTATGTTCATAAATACTAATACTAATACACAGGGCCCAGTTATAGGTGATTAATATTCCTCTCAGAACAACTGATTATGTAAACAAACCACTCTCTCTTTTTTTTGTGTGCCTTATTTTGTTATTGAGTGTCATAATTTTAATTTTTTGTGGTGGCTAGGGGCTGAAAATGGGTCAGGCCTCTCTGGGCCTCTGAGAGGGCCTGTGAAATACTCCTAAATTTATGTTACTCTAGCTCTGTCCGGGCTCAGGAGTCCAGATTCTCTCACACATTTTCTCTGAAGTATTTTACTTGAGGCTTCGGGATCATTCTCTTCACAAGTTGGAACCTTCTCCTTCAGAGTCCTTTTTCTCCCCCTTTCTCCCCCCAATCTTTCATTTCACTAGCCCAGTTGGCAATTGTTGACTCAAGCTGTTGCTTAGCAACTTGGCTAGGGGAAAGTAGGGAGCCTTCAAAAGGGAGGGAATGGCAGCCCTGTGGTGAATAACAAATTGCACACTGCGAAAATATTCAGCTGCTGATGTCTGTCAGCTTCCTTCTCTTTCACCACTTGGGTATAGGTGTGTGTGTTCATACAAACATTAAAAGGTCTGTGAGGGGAATGTTTAAATTCATCACAAGACCTGCAAGTGCCGGTAGGGGCTTATCATGGAGGACACAAACGGCAGCGTGTTAACATACCATCACAGTGTTTTCTAGCGGCAATGGGAATAAACACTATCGCATGGCAAAGTGTAATGCAAAACATGAGGTATCCAACAAAGTTGGGAACTGAACAAAAATTCAACAAGGCTTAGGTGAGACTGGATAACTTTTATGTATAGTATAGTACAGGCCTGGCCCAAGACATTTTGGTGCTTGAAGCGAAGCATAAAATGGTGCCTCCCGCCAGGGAAGAAGGGGTGAGAGAAGATCTACATCGGAAGCAAGTGGGGAGTGAAGATCTACCTCAGGAACAAGCTGGTGAGTGAGGTCTACATTGGGAATAAGGCAGAAGGGGAATCATAGCAACTTTTCCAGGTTTACTTCACTTGGATTGCCATCTTCAAATGACAAACCAAACACTAGGTCATTGGCTTAGGTAACTATCTATTTTCTATTTGTCCAACATTACTACTGAGCTGCTTATACAGCGAAAAGGATACTGGCAAGAATATAGTGATACTGCAAAACTGGAAAAGCTATTCATTTATTGTAAAAAACACACACCGTCAAAGCGGTTTACAAAAAGATAAAACTATAAAATCAAGAAAAACCCACAACCATAATTTAAAACATACAAAAGCTAAAATACAAAAAATTAAAATTACCTCAACTTTCTAAGCATCTAAGAACAAAAGAGATCAAAACTGCTGAAACAAATACACAAGCAGCAACAAAAACAGCTGAGCAGTAAAAGATTGTGCCCTGTATTCTTGACGTGCTTTGAGTTGAGTTCTTTTTCAGGGAAAATTGTCTTTCAAATAAATAAAGGTAGTAGACTGACTCAAGCCCTTGTTGGAAATGGTAACTGCCTTAAACAGATGGAGATAATTTGAAGTAAAGTTTTTGAACCTGAAATTAGTTGTCAATAAAGAATAAATGCATTTGTGGGGTGCAGGTGGGGGGGGGAGTGGCTTCCTACACAGCTGTTTCCCCTGGTTCCACTATTATGATAAATGCTGGTGACCTGGCAGGGGAAGTAGAGTGAACCCCAATTTATTATGATAAATGCTGATGATGGTTTTCCAATCCTCTGCTTGCATCTTATCTGATTGTACTAGGCTAGGGGTTTAAGGCCAAATGGTTTGCCATTTGTATATATTTGAGGCTCAGGAGTGCTCCTAGAAAGTCACCTACTGAAGGATTTTTGTGCCCTTTAGTAGATGTATGGCATAGCGCAAGGGTTTCTAACCTTTTTGGACCCGTGGACATGTGAAATTTTGAGTGTTGTGAGCCCCAATGACAAAATGGCTGCTATGGGGGCATGGCGCAACACATCAGCTTCAGGATATTGGAGTCAGCATTTTCCATAAACTTTTAAATCCACTGAAAATTATCCAGTAAGTTACTAATAATATACCACCGTGTTCTTACTTATACATTAATCTAGAAATCCATAATATATCTCAACAAGTAGTTCCCCATTTCAGAGCTTTTTCAACAGGTCTAACTTTAAAGCAAAGTCATTAAAGAGTCTTGCATCATATTGAATTAGGCTGAGAGTCTTCCCTATAATTTATTATTTGATTTACTTGATTAATGAGGCATGCTAGATACCATATTGATATGCTAAAAATCAACTTCTCCTACAGGTCCATTATCCACTTAAATTTTGAGACACTATTGAATGCTCTCAAGTTTTCTCTCAGTGGACTATCAAATCGAAGTCTGTTAGAAGTGATTTGATACATTTGTAGATGATGCCCTTTAATGCAGTTTAAAATGTCAGAATCAGTGTACAATTAAAGGAACTACAATATAAAAATATTTTAGCTTCAAGATACTAGACTGGATTTTGTAAATACATTGACGATTGTAGTGATTCAGCTGCACCATTATGAGTTATCCCCCCATCAAGGAAAGCACAGTCAGTTATTATCACTCAACATGGCAGGGTTTAGTTAGGAAAAAAATAAAACTTTCATGCAATCATGCATCTGTCTACTCAGAAACAAGGACCACTGAGTTGAATGGCACTTCCTCCCAGGTAAGTGGGTATAGAATTGCAGCCTTAATTGCTTTCTTCCAAACTAGATAGCACCTGGCAAAGAAAAATATGGCTGCAGGTAAATGTGTATTCCAGGAATTGTATTGTGTCTAAAGGCAATGGATAGTTGCTCTTTGAGTAGAATTCCACATGACTTGGACTGTACTAACTCCAGATCAATAACCTCAAAATATCAGTTTAACAGCTGTGACTGGCGATGTGACAAAACATTTTCTTGGGGCTGTAATGACCTGGAAGAATAGAAATAAAATGCAAAAACATATAAATACTTCACTTTGCAATAACAGCTTCTACTTGACTCTGAAATAACATCAGCTGTAAAAAGGGAAAGGGACCCCTTACCATTAGGTCCAGTTGTGGACGACTCTGGGGTTGCAGAGCTCATCTCGCTTTACTGGCCGAGGGAGCCGGCGTACAGCTTCCGGGTCATGTGGCCAGCATGACTAAGCCACTTCTGGTGAACCAGAGCAGCGCACGGAAACACCGTTTACCTTCCCACCGAAGTGGTACCTATTTATCTACTTGCACTTTGACGTGCTTTTGAACTGCTAGGTTGGCAGGAGCAGGGACCAAGCAATGGGAGCTCACCCCGTCGTGGGGATTCGAACTTACGACCTTCTGATCGGCAAGTCCAAGGCTCTGTGGTTTAACCCTCAGCACCACCCACGTCCCTAATATCAGCTATAGGGTTCTTCTAAAAACTGTTAACTAGTATCCTCTCATTATTAATGTTTTCTACTGTATAGTGGAATACTTAAGATATGCTGCCTTGCTGAAGAAAGGATTGAAATTAAATCCCTTATGGTTGTGCCCACCCCACCCCCCCACCTGGAAACATGGATGTCAACAAAAAATAATCAGGGGAGGGGGCGAGTTCTATGACTTGTAACAGTTATTTCTTTTGACCTGCAAACAGACACGCATACACAGATAGATACTCAGGGTGAGAGGCAGATGTATGGCTGAGGTCAAAGTAATTCCTACAGCACAATCCCAAGCATTTTTTAAATTTGAAATACTTCCCTGAGTTTAACTGGACCTTTGGATAAAAGAAAGAAAGAAAGAAAGAAAGAAAGAAAGAAAGAAAAGCACAATACCTTTATTATGAGCAAATAAAATGTCTCAAAGAAGTGAGCAAAATTCTTTATTATGTTGGGTGTTCTATCATCAAACAAACAAAAAGGTGGCAGGGGGTGACAGAAAGCAGGGAAGCCTGTTGGGAAAGATGTAAGAGGTCATTCGGTATATTATATTAGCCTTAATATGGAATGGGGAATTTGGCATGCATTCGTTGAACTTAATTCTCAGTCATTATGTGCTGAGGAACACACCCTCTCTCTTGTTAGGGACAAAGGGTAAAGGAATTACAGTACATGAATGTTAAATTAGTTTAACAGCTGAATCCTATGTGTGTTTACTCAGACGTAAGTCCCACTATGTATAAGGAGGCTTTCTTTGTGGTAAATAATTATTGCACCTCAAATTTGTATTGCAGACATTATCTCAATTCTCCTCTTTAATGGTCCAAACAGCACAACTCTTTACACTCGCCCCTCTTGTCCCCTCATGTTTCCTTTATTGAGGATCATGATCAGCTTCAGTTTTTCTCCCACACTGGTCATAAAGCTATATCAGTCATTTGTTCACAGCTTGCTTAGTTGGACCATACTCTTCTAGATCTCTGCAGGCCTCATAGTCTCTGGTATTTGCTTAACTATCCCCAAAGTTATGGAGTGAAGTTTTTCTGTGACATTAAATGCTTGACTTGTGGCTGCAGGATTTTCAGAGTTTTGGAAGCGGGCATATTGGGAACATATACAACTGGGCAACCAGCCAGCATTGGTCACAGGGGGCATTTTAGTATTCACTTATTTAAATGTGGGGAAAGTCCTGCCAAAACTGCATATATTTCTCATGTTACAAAGTACTGCTCTATTTACATTTCCTTCATTTTCTTTTTAAAAAAACCACGCTGTTTAAAACTGGATTGATACTGAGAATTTAATACTATATTTTAATTCTTCTTAACATTTGATGCTTGGTATCCTGTTTATTGATCATTTTTATAATGTTGCTTTGTTACTATATACAGTGGTACTATATTAATTCTTGGCTTTCTTGGGCATATGCAACTTTTGCAACAATTTGTCCAACATTACTCTCAGATTCTTCAGCCATGTTTTTGATTCATTAAGTCATTAGATTTATACAATTCTGTTGCCTTTTAACATTTTGCAACTCCAAATTCTTAATTCCCTAAATGTTCTATGAACCTATACAAGCCATAATCCAACTAAAGTCAAGCATTTTATTCTATGGACAAGCGATGCATGTCAACATCTACGGTAATTGAAATCAAGTTGATTATTACACTTTTCTCCCTTACTACAGCAGCTAATGGATGAGTAAGGTTTCAGTGAAACCTGTCGGCAAGAATCATAGGAGATAGACATGACTGTAAGGAACTCTGCATATAAAGAGTGCTGTGTGAAAATCATTAAGAATACGGTACACACCAATAATGCCCAGACCTAATTCCAGGGTTGTAGGCTTGTTTTACTAAAGGGACAAGAGCATAAGATATCTACTTGCTGTAGTCAAAACCAGTGGTCAGTGGGGGGTACTAATTCAGAGCAATGGTGGCTCACCAAGGCCATCAAACCAAGCTACTGATGCTATTGTGTATTGGAAATTGTAACTATTAAGCAGAGCTTTAAATGACTAAATGGGGGGAAACAGAGCTCAACTTTCCTGAAAACCACTTTTCATAGATATGAAATTTCCAGGAAGTAGATGTGTGTGACTACTGTGAAGTGAGAGAAAGTCACTCTACATATGCTTGGGATTACTCCTTATTAAGAACACAGACTAGCTTTGGCTCAAATTTACTTTTTTATATGCATAGTTGAAACCTACTCATTTTTCCTGTGCAATATCCCCTTTGAATACTGAAAATGAAAAAGGTAGAAACACCAGGCATTTCTGCATCTGCCTGTTGATACTTTTGCTAAACATCTACATTCATTTAAAAAACACCCAAAAGATGTATGGAAAACAATTGTACCATTGCCACTATACTTAAAATAATAGTAAAAAATAAACTTTTTTTTTATTTATATCCCGCCCATCTGGCTGGGTTGCCCCAGCTACTCTGGGTGGCTTCCAACACATATAAAAAAACAAGAAACCATCAAACAATAATAGTAACAATCTGATCCAATATAAAAAGTCACAATAACTTTAAAATAAGCAACTTGTACCATACAAAGCAACATTCAACAATCCATCAGAATCTAATAGTAAACAGTAAAATTAAATATCAGTAGATAATAATTAAACAGTTTACACTTATCAACCACAAGAAAGAATTACTAATCTATAATCATTAAAACAACAGCAAAATAATTTCATGCAAATATAGATACTTTGTGCATGCCATACATATGGTCTTTGAATGTATATAGATGCTTTGTTTTACTAATATAGAACTTTGCATTATCTTATATTAGTTTGCAAACATATTTTGTAAAACCAAAGGAGACATGAATCACTTTGGCTCAAGGGAGTCATTTTTAAGGGGGGTATTTTGCAGGGGAACCTAGGGACTGGTGACACCCTGAAACACAACAGTACATCATGTATCTGTTAGGGCATAAAATATAAACAAATGTGACTATCACAATTGGTTGAGGTATTGTTCATTTTAATCTTCTTATACTGCACACAAAAATTTAAATCATAAAAACGAATCAATCACCTTGAGTTCAAAAGACAAGCTTTTGCATTGGTGTGTATGAATGTGCAATGCAAGAGTCCCTTGTACATGCGCATAAATACCTGTCCTACACATTCAGATAAACACAGCTGTGTTTATTCCAGTGTGCAAGATTCCAGATGTGCGTGTGGTCACATGTACACATGGGGCACTCCACCTTATTACTTTACAATTTTCCATTACATTTTCAAATCCTTAAACTTTGGTGTCACAGAGACCTATTCAGAAAACACAAAAATGATGCAGCAGGAGATATTAAAGGCCTTCTTTATTTGAATTCATGCTGGTGGAGGGCAGTATTTCGTGCAGAGTTTCTGCTTCTCCTAAAAGTATTGGACAATATTTCTTCAATTTAATATTGGCATGAAGTTAAGACAATCCACATTGAACCGGAGAAACTAATTCACTTCTATCATGATGTGAGGACTTAAAATATGAGGTGAGAAGAGAAGGGGGTACAGTACTGAATCTTTTCCAGTGTTTACATTAAATTGCTCCACTGTATATATACCAGGTATAACTCTCATTCAGCTTGTAAAGTCTGATTCCATACCAAGCATACTTCATGGAAACTATTTGAACATAAATCTTCTTCGAATTACAGGCAATATACAAACCAACCAAACATGTTGGTTTAGAAGCAGATGCACCTGCGATGTACTACTTGTTGAAGGTTACAGTCCAGTTAACATCTGGGAAGTGCCTGAAAATTCCTATTTTGCCTTCAGAATAGGCCCCTAATAAAAGTAGACAATGAAAAGGAGGACACTGCTTCAGCATTACCCTCCATAAGTGTGTCATTCGCTAACGTCACATGTGCTCACTCAACTGCTTCGATCTGCAGAACTGGCATTATTACAGGTTCCACGTAATACTCATTCCATGTTCATAAGAAATTTTAATTATTTTTAAATGTGCTTAATTTTTTTTTTTACTATTTTTATTATTAATTTTACTATTTCTTGTATACTGCTTGGAGATTTTACTATAATCAAGCAATATGTAAAGGTTGTTAAATAACTAAGTAAACACTAACATTGCTAAGAAAATTGGTATGAAGAAATAAAATACATGTGTGCCTTAATAAAATTACAATTTCAGCAAATGCAAAGGGAGAAAAATCCTGCTGTAGTAAGACATTATCATTAGCAGTGGCAGATTTATAGGTATGTGTGGTATGCACAGAATTAGAGCTCCCTGAGCCCCCAAGTCATTAGTATACATTGTTGACTGAGATGGTATTTTTGAAACATGACTGCAAACAATGAATAGCCGTTGTTGACTTCTAGTATTTTAGTTTGTTGCATTGTTTCCACTCTTCATTGCTCCTGCTCCCTGATTAAAGTCAGTATATTCTGGCCCATTAGGAAAGCAGGGCTTAGCCCTTCCAAGTGAAATGTCAAGCAACTTTTTGTTCAGGTTTCCCCTTAAACTTCAAAGCCACACTATTTCATGCCCCACACATCCTCTCGTGACCCATTTGAATTTAGAGAGCCAGGGCAAACATTTCTATCAATCTCCTTCTCTCTAGCCAGTCAGTTCTCCAAGAAACCACACAAGTGTAACAATAAAAATACTAGAATACTACAGGGTGAAAATGGCATTGTCTGGCTGCTCAGTAAAAAGTGAATGTATAAAGGGTGGCAATACTAGAGAAAAGGGCCAGTGTAGAAAGAGCTAACAAAACAGGACTAATATCATTATGGTGTATTTCCCATCTCATGCTGTTCCTGCTTCTAGACTTAGAAATTTACATTTTCATATGATTGTGGGTTTTTTTTTAATAAGCCACTTTGTAGACTCATAATGTAGTGCCAAAATGCTTAAAATAAAAATAATAAATAACAAAGAAAGTTCCCGATTAAGACATGTTAAAAGTGACTGTATTCATGTCTGAAGTTTTTGAAATTGGCTTAGATTATATGGTTTTAAATCATTTGGGTATAAAGGTGTGTGTGTGTGTGTGTGTGTGTGTGTGTGTATATATATATATATAAATAACTGGACTGAATAATTAAATATCTTTGAACTAGCTTTGCATTTTATTAAATTATTCAGTTTTGCAAAAGATTAAATATTGCTACTTAAAGATTTGCTGAGTGTTGTACATAAGAATTACTGCACAGAACACAATACCTTGCTGAAAAGGGATTTTTATGTTTCGCTGTTTCCTGGTTGCCAAAGGCAGCTTTCAGTTTTGGAAGAAATTCATTTTTCAGCTGCATGGTTTCTCACATAGCTAAAGAAAATGCTAATATGCAGAATTCTTGTGTTTTTATTGCATTCTTTTTTTTTTTACTGTCATGGATCAAGGACACATCCTTTGAAGAAAAACTCCTATTTTACCCCAAAGTCAGAAGTGGACATTGTTGATGTTTGCCTATTCATCTGATGTCCAGCCAATTGGCATTTGCTGCTGTTGTTTTCAGTCCGTAAATGATACACAATTGATGACACCCTTCAATTTAAATTACCTCACCTTTGCATTGAAATGCAATAATTATGTAATTAATTACATTAAATTCATGTTATGTAAATAATTACATAAATGATGTTAAACAGCAGACAGTGTGATGAATAATGTATTACAGTGGTACCTCAGGTTACATACACTTCAGGTTACATACGCTTCAGGTTACAGACTCCGCTAACCCAGAAATAGTGCTTCAAGTTAAGAACTTTGCTTCAGGATGAGAACAGAAATCGTGCTCTGGCGGTGCAGCGGCAGCAGGAGGCTCCATTAGGTAAAGTGGTGCTTCAGGTTAAGAACAGTTTCAGGTTAAGAACGGACCTCTGGAACGAATTAAGTACTTAACCCGAGGTACCACTGTATTTGGAGGAAGCAGAACTGCAGCAGAACGGAAACAACACTGACTGTGACAAAGGTTGGAATGAAAATTGCTGCCTTCTTATATCCCTATTGGTGGTGGAGACCTCAATGCATTACATAGTAAGGTCACAGGCTTTCTGGGTCTCCCCTGCTCCCCTAAGCATGTATCCCCAGTGCATGCTCGTGTAAATGTAAATTAAGTAAGTAAGTAAATACATTATAAACCAACAGAAAACACTATTTTCCTTCCCTTGCCCAGCAATAAGAAGAGGGCAAACTCTCTAAAACTACCCAAGGCAATAGTTGGCAAACCAATTCACAGGCTGAATCTGACCTTGTCAAGCTTTACCTTGTGCCATGTAATAGTATTAGAGGAAGGGGCTGTAATTCAGCATTTGAACACATACTTTGTACGCCAAAGTTGCCAAGCTCAATCCCTTGGGGGAGTTATTGGTTCGTTTGTTTTGTTCTTGTTTTCATCATGCATTTTGTGCTTTTATATTGTATTTTTATGTTGTAAACTGCCCTGAGATCTATGGATGAGAAGGAGGTTGAGGGGGTTGTCCAAAATAATAAAAATAAATAAATAAATAAATAAATCTGCAGTGTTTGGGCCAAACTAGACAAATAATCCAGAATGGGCCCCTGCACTTTTAGTTTACTTTTAAAGAGTCATTCATGGAATTTCTAATTGCTTGAATGATGTCTCATCTTCTTTTGTGCTTTTTAAAGCACCAATCCAGCATTTGGTGTCTGTTATTTCTGAGGGTCCCAATGTAAAGTCATACAGCATCATGTTTCCCCCCAGAAAGCTCTTATCAGTCTTGTTCCATTGTTTTGGTGCCAAGAACATGAAACACAAATTGCTCACACAGCATCATCACTATGAATTTCTGCCATAGGCGGAGAGCAGTGACTTTCTTTACCTGTACGGCAGCCTTCTATTCTTAAAATATCTTGCACCTTAACAAATAATATAGAGAAACATTTAATGTTTCCAAGAAAAGCATGGAACAAAATGACCTCTTGTCCTAAATGAGGAATTTGCCTTAGATGATCCCTGTGGTTGGGAGCAAGTGTGATGTTTATCACAATGCACTTTGGTTGCTGAAGTACAGTGGTACCTCGGGTTAAGAACTTTATTTGTTCTGGAGGTCTGTTCTTAACCTGAAACTGTTCTTAACCTGAAGTACCACTTTAGCTAATGGGGCCTCCTGCTGCCACCGCACCGCCAGAGCATGATTTCTGTTCTCATCCTGAAGCAAAGTTCTTAACCTGAAGCACTATTTCTGGGTTAGCGGAGTCTGTAACCTGAAGCATCTGTAACCCGAGGTACCACTGAATCAGAGAACATAGAAAAGTTAACTCAGAGTTGTGGCAAGTGTGTTACAGAACCAGATGGACATAAGTAAACCAAAATATTTATTTCTATCCTTCACTAACAGTGCCTCTGTTATTTTAGAAGATTCTGTTTTTCCTTCTTTGTAGTTAAAATAGTAGAGAATGTCAAATGTCTGCTACCCAAATCTAGCTGTGTGGACAGCTTCATGGCAGTCAGAGTAGGGCCCTGCTACCACAAGACAAACTGAGTAGACAGAAGGCCTTGGAATTAGAAGACTGTTACAGGCTGGTTCTAATATTAGCCAGAGGGAGGAAGTTGCCTCATGCAGATGATTTTGGGTATCATGAAAGAGTAACAAATGTTGTTGTTGTTGTTGTTGTTGTTGTTGTTGTTAACATGTTTACTATTGGAAGTGTCAAAACTTGCATACTACAAATCTTGGCTGTGGGTTGGCACAATTTGCTGTTCTGCCGCGGGCTCTGGCTCTGTCTTTGGCTGTGTTTATTTAGTAATCCTGAGCAACCCTTTGTCTTGCAATACTTTCCTATAATTAAAACTGAAGCAAACTAATTATCTAAAGCATATTTAAAAGGAGGAGGAAGTACTGGATTATATAGCAATTATTGTGGTTCAACTCCTGCACCAAAACATATTGCGCTGTACTCAAAATCAGTAAACCTCCTTGCACCAGCAATTCAAATAAATATCAGTTTAAATATATATAACGTATCATGTTAGTATCATTAACAAAGGTTGCTGTGCATTAAAAGTTCAATCAAAACTCTCAGTTGGAAATGGCCATTATTCTTGTATTGATTTGTGTTCATGGCACTCATCCTAGATGATAGAAAACAGTATCTCTCCTAGAAATTGCTATGGCAATATTGCTTTTTATGTTTGCTTTTTTGGCCCCCCATTAAGAATAATTAACTGGATTTGTGTCTCATAATGTGTCCTTAGTATATTGCTAATTCTTTGTGTATGCAATTCTTTCTTCAACCTGTTTAGGTCATCAAATTCTTCTGAGATTAACAGACCAAGTGTCCCTATTTTCCAGGGATAGTTCCAGATTTACAGAAGCCATCCCGGTATCTGATTTGATCCCGGAATGTCCCACTTTTCCTTAGAACGTCCCTATTTTAATCAGAGAAATGTTGGAGGGTATGGAGTTATGCGATTCCTAGCCAAGGAAATAAGTAACTATACAACGTTTAGAATACATCTGAAGATAGCCCTATACAGTATAGGGAAGTTATTTAATGTTTAATGGGTAGCATATTATTATTATTATTATTAGATAGGACATCCCTCTCCATCAATTACCTTCTACCTTTACCTGATTGAAATATTGATCTCTAACAACCCAGGAACGTAATTCTCTCAGAGTTTATTAGGGGTGCCGCCACAAAAGACCAGTAATGGTGGGCAAGTTCCTTGAAAGACAATTGTGCAGAACTACCAATGTGCACAGATTGTGTACTATGTTTGGAATATGATGTGAAGCCTTAGAATGCAAGTATAGATCTTCTGCAATGTGCCCAAAAGGGATGTATGCTGCTTAGTGGCAAGCCCAGTGTGATGGGTAAAATGCCCCCGAAAGAATTACCACATTATTCCTTACCAGATACAGTATGGTAAAGCAGCTCTGGCTGTATGATCCAGTCTTACATTCCCACACATTTGACCAAGGTGAGTTGCCTTGCCCAAATTCTTAGACCAGGGAAAGGTGCTGTTCCTCACAAGCTCCTTAGTGAGGGAATTTGCTTGAGCAAATGACTACAAGGGAAGTATGTCTTGTTACACACATTTTTGAACTACAAATGTCCCCAACTTTCTTAGTTGTTTGCCTATATTTTATCCCCACCCCGCCCACTCCATATACTATTAAAAGTCATTGAGGAGAACTATAGTGTAGAGAGAATCAGTTTGTAAACAATCTCTCTGGAGCACCAGCAATTATGTCAGAGAGAAGTGTGAAGGGGAGAAAAAATGGATTTGCTTGATGTTATTTCCTTTCTGAAGATCCAGACTGTCTGGAGCCCCTACTCTTTAGTACTCAAAGAACAGAGTTTACAGTTATGGACTTTCATTATGTTAACATTATTTTCATAAGAGGTGACAGTATTGGGGAACTGTATTTTACCTGATTTTCACTGAATGATAATGAGGGAGCTGATTCTAGAGTGTTCAGTCAATTAGAGTAATATATATTCAGACTGGTTACTGTGCCCTTGGAAGTTGGTCTTTTTGACAAAGCACACCTAGTCACTTCTGATTTTACCAGCCCAGTGCATCAAATTCTCATTGACAGATGGATAAGCTGAACAAAATCATTAAATGTGACTTAGGGCCCTGCTATATGTGATGCCAAATGCATCATTACTCTCTGGCACATCCAGGAAGGGCTGGAGAAAACCCCAGTCTGAAACTGGAAGACTGGGGCCTAGCAAGTACAGACACTACTGAGCTAGCTGGAGATTTAAATCACACCCAATACACACATTTAAAGCATATGATTTTTTTGCAAAGAATACAGGGGACTGTAGTTTCCTCCTCACAGAGCACCCTTAACAAACTTTAGTTCCCAAGATTCCTGATGCGGAAAGTTTTGTGTTTTAAATGTGCACTGGGTGTGCTTTAAATC